CAAATAGCAGCCTTTCTAGTAAGCCACACAAGCCATGCAGGACCCAGGAAAAGAGAAGTCAGAGAGCGCCTCTGCACAACTGAGATACCAGTTAACTCAGTTTGGTTAACTTTGCAGGCCTGGGGCTGGTGGTCTGAGCATCTGTTGGGAGGATGACAGTATGCACTAAAAAAATATGAGGAATTTCTTTCTGTCCTTTTTGAGGTCCAATATTGTTCTCACTGTTTTGCTCTGAGTAATTGTTTTACTTTATTTAATATTCTATCTTAATTGGTTTTATTCTATTTTTTTTATTTTGCTATATCTGTTAAAATGGACAGTTATTGTGACAATAACACACTCTACTATGGTGGTCACTGTTGTTTTCCTATTATCCTGCTTCACAGTTCTGTACCAATTTCATTGCTTTGTTTTGATTGGCTTTATCCAGTTTTGTTTTGTTGTGATTTATTATCTTTAAAAGAAAAAGTCTACTGAAAGTATATGCAGGGCTCTGGCAAACGGCGGATGCCCCAAGGGGAGAACAACCCAGTGTCTCCCAAGATCTACGCCATGTTGGAACTTAGGGTGCTGGGAAACCAAGCAACCAGCCTGCCTCCCTGATAAGCAGCCATGAGCCTAATGGTGCATGGGTTGAGAATCAAATATCTCATTCACCACCACCCCCTCTTAGCAAATGGGAGCCAGAGGTCTGAGCATCTCTTGGGAGGTTGACCATATGCACTATAGCAAATAAGGAGGATTTCCTTCTACCATCTCTTTGAAGGCAAATATTATCACTGTTGTGCTTTGTTCTGATTAATTGTATTTCTCTATTCAACATTCTGTTTTGATAAGTTCTATAATGTTCTGTATTTGGTTTGATTTTGCAATACTTGATTAAAAGAACAACTATTGTGAAGATAACAAGATATACTATGGCACCTATTACTGTTATTTCGGTAACCTGTTCTGATGTTCTACACCAATTTCACCACACTGTCTCAATTGGCTATGTTCTGTCTTACTTCACTACCTTCAAAATAATAATAATAATAATAATAAAGAAATCAATCAATGTGAAGGTAGACTATCATATCTAGAAGACAGATTTGTAGTTAGCAACAATCAAATGAGCAACTTCTTTAAAATAGCAAGGGACCATGACAAATAAATCCAAAGATGAACAGATAAATAACATCAGATTAATTGGAATCAATAAAAAAGAAACAGAAAATAGCACAAAAAACATAAAAATATTGTTAGCAGAAGCTGGGCATTGTGGTGCACACATGTAAACTTAGCACTCAGAAGACTGAGGCAGGAGAATCAAGTTGGAGACCAGCCTGGGCTACAAAGTGAACTCAAGTCCAGCCTGAACTATATAGTGAGAACTGGTCTCAAAAACACAAAAAAGAAGAGGAACAAGGAGGAGGAAGAGGGGGAGGAGGAGACTATGATGATGAAATAATAGCAGAAAACTTCCCAAGCTTGTCAAAAAATTTGATCTAGAGATAAGTGAGGCACCTAGAACTCCAAGGCATATAATAGTAAAGATTACAGAAATTCAACACAAAAAAATATTAAATATTATGTTAGACAAAAGAAACATCACGTGTAAAGGAAAACCCATCAGAATCACTGCAGACTTCTCAACACAAACCCTCAAGTCAAAGTGAGCTTGGAGGGAAGCTCAAGCCCTAAAATAAAGCAACCTCCAACACAGATTGATGTGCCCCACAAAATTATCTTTCAAAGTTGATGGGGAAATGAGACTTGCAAGATAAAGAACAACTGAAGAAATTTATGACCACAAAACCAGCACTTCAAAAACTGCTGAAAGATATTCTAGAAAAAGAAAATGAAGACAATTCCACGAACTCTAATAGAATGAATCCACCAGACAAAGCAAGCAGTTAAACAGAGAAGAAAGAGAAGCAACAACAGGAAAATAATATGACGAAGATAAGTTAATATATATGAGCTATAATCATCAATGTAAATGGTCTCAACTCACCAATAAAAATAAACATATTGACAAATGGACTGAGAAACCTAGAAATTAATCTAATGAAGGAAGTAAAAAAAATATTACACTGAAAACTACAGTGTTCTGAAAAAGGAGATTGAAGAGGGTATCAGAACATGGAAAGATATTCCTTATGCTTGGGTAGGCAGAACCAATATAGTGAAGAGGGCCATACTTCCACAATTGTTATACACATTTAAGGCAATACCCATAAAATATCAATAGCATATTTCAGAGAATTAGAGAAAACAATCCTAAAATTCATTTAGAACCAGAAGAGACCTAGAATAGCAAAAACAAATTTTGGGCAACAAATGTGAGGCAGGGGTCCCATAATCCTAATTTGAAATTATACTATAAAGCTATCTTGATAAAACAGCACGGTACTGGCAAAAACAAAACAAAACAAAAACAAAGCAGGCCCAAGAAGCAATGAAATAACATAGAAGATGCAGAAATAACTCTAAACAAACTCAGTCACCTGATCTTTGACAATAGAACCAAACACCTTCACTGGAAAAGAGATAACCTCTTTAATAAATGGTTCTAGGAACATTAGGCTTCTGCATGCCAGAGATTAAGCCTAGACTCACACTTCTCACCATCCACTAAACATAAATTGAAATGGATCAAAAATCTAAATAATATTTAATAAGGACCAACATAGATTATAGATATTGGAAAGTAGGAAAAAACGTTCAAATGTGAAGAGGAACAAAGGAGTGGGGAGAAGAAAGTGAAAGAAGGGAAAAGGGAAAAAATGGAATATAAGGAAAAATGAAACAAAGCTTTTGTTTAGGGAAGAAGAAGAGGATTGAAGGGAGGGAAGGAGAATCAGGTAAAAAGAATGATCAAGATATATTATGTATACCTACACAAGTTCCCCATTATGAATGTGATCACTGAGTTTATCAAAAGTGTATCAATAAAATTAATTTTAAAAAGAATTGTATACAAAGTGAAATGCTTTAGACTGTAAAGGAAGCAAATAAGAAGTTAACAAGAAGCAAGCCCTCCCTACTAGCCAGCACCATGCACAGGCTGCTGCGGGGAGGTCCAGATGCCAGCCTTTTCCCATGAGTCACTGCCAATCACGGACTGCAGGGAAAGAGAACAAGAAGTCAACAAGAAGCAAGCTCTCCCTGTGAGCTGGCATGTGTGGGCTGCTAGGGGGAGACCCAGATGCCAGCCCCTCTGGTATGTGGGCTGGGAGACAAGAAGAGCCAACTCACCCACCAAACCCACCTCTATCCCCAGCCATAAATGACTGGCTGATCTGGAGAAACACAGGGTGTGATGATAACTATTGAGGTAAAATATAACTTAATGCTTGTAGAGTTTAGTGGTTTACTGACATTGCAAGTCTAAAGCCAGTAGTCTGATCATCGATTCTGAGGATAACAACGCGCAATGTAGCATCTAGGGGAGAACTCCTTTTGAAGGTGGTAGCCATTGTTAATTTCCTATTGTCTTGTTTTGAAGTCCTGTATCATTTTCATTGTTCTGTTGGGTTGTGTTTTATTCTGTTGTGTCTTTTTGGCATATCCAATGGAATGGGCAGCTATTTCAAAGATAAAAAGATATGTTATTGTAGCCATTTTGGATTTACTATTATCTTGTTTTAAAGTCCTTTACTGTGTTCATTGTTTTGTTTTTTGTTGGTTCTATTCTGTTCTATTTTGTTTGATTTTTACTATCTTTGAAGGTATGAGCAGCTATTTTGAAGACAACAAGAGACATTATGGTAACCATTGCTGAATTCCTATTATCTTTTTTGAAGTCCTGTATCACTTGCACTGTTTTGTTTTGATTGGCTTTATTCTGCTTTATTTTGCTTGTTTTATTGTCTTTAAAATAAAAAAAATTTTAGAAGTTAAATGTTTGTGTACTGATCCTGAACATACCAAGAGAAGTCTCAATTATGAAGGAATGTTTTGGAAGGAAAAAAAGAGTATACACGTCAGTCTTAGTTACTTTTCTCATTGCTGAGACAAAATACCTGCTACCCAGAATTAAAGGAGAAAAGGTTTATTTGGCTCACAGTTTGTAGAGGTTTTAGTTTATAGCTGTTTGACTCCAAAGCAAGGTCACATGGCAGAAGGGTGTTGTGGTGGAGAAACAGGTGATGGCAGACAGAAGGCACAAGGCGGCAAGTACCATGTGACAAGTGATGACCTTTTTTCTGTCCCTTATACCTTACCCAGGCTACCTATCTTTAGGACAGGTAATACTCATACCCAGAGGTGGGGCATCCTTAATTCTAGCATCCCAACATAAATCACCCCCAGCATCACATCTTGATCCCAGCAGGACATACTATGTATATCCAGTCACTTCCAAATAGCCCCTCTTATGACCACCTGAGGTTGGGGGGGGCATCTAGATACAACCTATAACCACATACAAAGAAATATTTAGATTTGTAAAATATTTAGATTTGTAAATTATAATTGTCATAGCAGCACTATTTGTTTACCCTCAATCTAGAAACACATATATAAATTATGGGATAACCATAGAATGGACTACTACACAATAATAACAAATGAACTAGAGCTACCTGCCACAATATAGCTGACTCTAGAAAACATAATGAATGGAAGAAGCTTGACCCAACAGTAGGCAGCATAACTCTAAGGTAAGAAAATAAATAACAATCATAAGAGAAGGACTGGAGATTACCTTAGCAGAGGAGGAGGTCCAGACCTGATAGGGAAATTCTAGGGTTCCTGAAGTATTGGCACTCTTCTCTCTTGACCTAAGTAATGGTTAGATGGAGTTTGCAGTATAACATGTTCACATTACTCATGTTGTTAGTGCTTTATGCACTTCTGTTTGCACTTACAGGTCATTTACTTCCTTTACTATTTTTCACAATAAATAAAAGTTTAAAAAAAAGAGATAAGGGGGTATGAAAGACCACTTTTCTGAATTACTTAACTCAGGCCTTGTTTATTTGTTCATTTGTTTGTATGTTTGTTTGTTGATGCAGGTCTTGATCTGTAGGCCAAATTGGCCTTGAACTCTGGCCTCTGCCTTCTAAAGTACTGGGATTGCACCATCATAACCAGCCACTTGGACTTTGTTAAAAGTGAAAATGAATCAGGAGCTCTAGCCTGAGTTACCCATCTCAGGGTGGGAATAACTCAGAAGCTGATGCCCACTTGTCTGCTGTTTAAGAGGCGGGTACAATTGCCAGATACGGAAGAGGAAGAGCCTCTGGGATGATGTGACTGGAAGAGGAAACAGTTCTACTTCCCCCCTTTCAGGATGGGGGATCAAGCCAGGTCCACGCACAGCTCCACCAGTGCTTTACTACTGAGCTGCCCTCCCAGTCCAAGAAGACATATCTAAAAAAGTCCATTTAGCTGGTCCACACAATTTTGCTTTTTTCCTCTGATAATCATGGCTCAGGGATGGTTTGCCCAGATCTTCAAGTCAGTGCTGACGGACGTCTCTTGAGGCTTATGGTATACAGCATAAGAGTTCTAAAAGCACTACATCAAAATGTATAGACTTGGGGCTGCAGAGGTAGTCAGCAGTAGAACACTTGCCTGGTGCATGTGAAGCCCTGGGTTCAATCCCCAGCACTGGGGAAAACAAAAATAAACAAACAAAAACAAGATTTGGAAAGCAAAACACATTCATGATACTTTATTTATAGACATGTGATTTGTGAAGGAAGAGACTCAGAAAGGGGGTCAAGCCTCTTTTCACTGTATGACAGATGATCACTGTGAGGATGACAGCGACAGACTTGTGATTCTCACTGATCTTCAGTTCCGCAGCAGAACAACCCTGGTACGATCAGGACTAGATTCATTATGAAAGGCATCTTTGCATGCAGTGTTTATTTCCATGACTTGTATTTTTCCTGTGTACTAATAAGCTGCTGAGAGTAACATTCCACTGCTTAGGGAATATTTATATGCACGACAGTATGATTTATGTGTCCTCCTCTCTCAGCTGTCTCTGCTCTACCATGGTGTCTCTGAGGAAAATAAATAACCCTGTAGCCAGGGATGGGAGCATCACCCAAAGAACTATGGATTTAACACCTTGTGGTACCCACACCCCAGACAGGATTGTATTCAGATTTTGAACAGATCCTTGCTAAACGTAATTATCTGCTTTGCACTTCATTCCAGAAATGCTGACTATATATAAAATATAGAAGAAACAGTAAGTATTAATCAAAGGATTATTCCAGCACAACCAACATCTAACTAGGCTGTTTGAAGTGAAAGGAGGCTACTGCTTTTGTGATGCCATGACAGTAGAAGCTCTATGATAATTTTCACATGGAGAAGGGAGAGTAGATAAAGAGTTTGGGGAAGGAGCTAAAGACAGGCAAGATTTGGAAGGGCTTTGAAGGTGCAGAATAGACTTTGAAAGACTATTCTAGAACATGAAGGAAGAGGAGAGGGGAGAGGTGGAAAATGGAATAGATAAGTTCATTCATAACCTTTGGTACTAAACTCAGTGGATTTCCATCTCCCATGGAATTAAGCTTGCATTTAATTCCTAGTTTGCTCCCTTCCTACGGAATTTCTCACATTCTCCGCCTTGAGCACTATTCTTAGGCTTTCCTTTCTAGTCTCCACTTGCCCTGGTTCATGTGCTGTCTCCCTGTGGAGTGGCTTGCATTGTATCACTCACATTACAAGCTCCTTCTCAAGCTCTGAGTTGTTTAAGGATCTTCTCATTAAGCCTAGATTTCATATACTCTTCTCTAACTTCATATGCTACCCATTTTACAATTGCTGCCTGTGGACATCTGTTAATTTGTTCTCTTCAACAGAGTTCTAATTTCTTATATTTTCATAACTTACCTCTCCAAAAAAAAAAAAAAAACAGATTATGTGTCATTCTTTGGTGACAATATAAACATCTGCATGAGAATCTAGTCAAAGTTTTTGGGGAAAGAGAAATACATTCTGCTTCATATAATAGTTACTTCTTGGGAAGCTGGATTTCCCAGTTAGAGTTTCAAGGGAGCTTGTAACATAAAATTCAAAGGGTCTATATTAAATGACTGGGTTTTTTTTTTGTCTTTTTCCTTTTTATCAGTACCGGGAATCGAACTCATGACCGCCTGCTTGCAAGGCAGGCGCTTATGCCGCTGAGCTAAATCCCCAGCCCCATGACTGTCTTTTTTATTAAATGTTATGTTAAGCTGCATTGTGCCCCTAAAATATGTCTATCTGGAATCTCAAAATGTAAACTTATTTGAAACAAGGATTTTTTTAGATATAATTAAGAAATGCTGTAAGTATCAGATACTGGAGAAAACAAGGAAGAGTCTTCAGAGAAAATGTGGCCCTGAAAACATGTGATCTCAGATTTTAGGTTTCCAGAACTATGAGAACACACATTTCTGTAATTTTAAGCCACCAAGTTTGTAGTAATTTGTTAGACAGCTTTGGGAAATTATTGCCGCTGTTTAGTCCCAAGTGGGTGATAGGTAGGAAAACATGGGCTATTATCTATTATAATTTGCTATAACAAATTACCATAAGCTAGATGGCTTATAAACATTAGCAATATATTTCGCATAGCTCGGAAGGCAAGGAAGTCTAAGGACAAGGCGCCAGTAGATTTGGTGCCTGGCAAAGGCCTGTTTCCTGTGTCTTCATATGGAGGAAGAGTTGAGGGTCTCCTGGGTCTGTCATATAAGAGCACTAATTCCATTCACGAGGACCCCACTCCCCGGGAGCTAAGCACCTCCCCAAATACCATCATCTAACAAGTGAGGACGACAGCATAAATTTGGGGGAAAATAAGTACTGGGACCATACTAATCCACACTGAAGAAATTAAATTGGACTGAGGGCTGGGGATTTAGCTCAGCGGCATAAGCTGCTTTGCAAGCGCATGGTCGTGAGTTTGATCCCTGATACCGATAAAATAAAATAAAAAATTTTAAAAAATACATTGGACAGAAACATAGATGTTTTACAGCATCACCAGACAGAAATAAAATTTATTCAGTAACTCATAATTCTGGCATGATGGAGGGATGAACACATGACCTCATTTCAAGTCATCTATGTGGGAAAAAAAAGGCCAATGACTAAAAGCCACGACTCATAGAAACAGTAACAGAACACTGGAAAGCAGTATCAGAAAATACCAAGAGCCTCACAAATGCTTGCCACGAGTTGTAGCACAAGGGGACATAGAGAGAGGGCGGGGACAGGGGAAGGATCAGTTTCTGCTTGCACAGTGCACTTAAAGACTAAATTTTCCCTCTCGCCTTTAGTAATTTAAAAACTAGACAAAGCACTTTTAACTTGCTTTTGTATACTGAACAATATCCACTGCAGGATTGCGATGCTTAAGAAAATAGAAACAAATAAGGTAAGCTGTATGATGGCTTTAGATTTCTATCTGGAGTTACATCCTAGAACCTGAATGAGGGAGGAGGATTCTCAGCCGATCATGCTGTCTCAGCAAGTTGAGATAAAAGAATCAGGAAGCATAAAAAGGGTAGAAGTAGTGAATCAGAATTTCAAAGAGGAAGGAGCTTTGCAGAAATATAAGCATTAAGGAGTCTTCCTTGAGATTTAATTGAATACTAAGATGTGTAGGGTATTAGTAGAGGGTGAATTAAATCCCTTGAGAATAGGCAAAACTTGTCTGTGTGAGCTGTAAGCTGTATGCCCCTACAGCTCACACGAGGCTGGGGATCCTTTGGGATTGCTCTAGCCAAGTAGAGTCCTCATTGATCACTTTTTTTTTTGAGACATGATTTCACTATGTAGTTCAGGCTGGCATTGAACTCACTATGGAGTGTAGGGTGGCCTTGAGCTAGCTAGCAGTGATTCTCCTGCCTTAACCTCCCAGGTGCTGAGATTATAGGCATGTGTCACCATATCCAGCATGATAGCTTTTGAAACTCAATAGAGCTGTCAAAAAAGTCACATCTTACAATTGACCTAAATCATACCTTGAGTTATGCTGCTCCAGGAATATTCAAGGAAAAGAAAAACAGACCTCCAAAGAGGAAGGGCAACCTGCAAGGGACTTAATTGCCTTCTAGAAGAAAGACCACCACCTTTCTGGGACAAAAGTGACCAGCCACCACCACTATAATCTACACATGAGGATTAGACAAAAATAATCACACAGCTAAGAATCAGTGTAACTTACCATGTTAATAGAAAAAAGGAGAACAATCACAGGAGCAATCTACCAGATTCAGGAAAAAAAATTCAAAAGATCTGTCACCTACTAATGCAAACTATCTCAGTAAACCAGCAATAGAAACAAACACTCCCACTATCATAAAGGAAATCTACAAAAATCTATAGCTAACATCACACCAAAAATGAAAGACTGATTTCTCCCTAACATTCCTAGTCAACGTTGTCTGGAAGTATATGCAACAAGACAAAGAAATAAAAGACACACAAACATGAAAGCAGGAAGTAAAACTTTTAATTAGCAAATGGCCTTCCCCTGTGTGTAGAATCGGCTAAGGAATCCACATTAAAACTACGAGGTGTAGTAAATGAGTATAAAAGATTGTATAAGATATCAACATAAAAGTACAGGGTTACCTTCGGAGGTGAAGCTTTTGTTTGTGAACAATTTGGTTAGCAAACAGAAGTGTGTGGCTGTCTCTCTCTTATAAAGCTTTTGGAACAAAAATGCATTTTAATTTGAAACACCAGTATTTTCATAGTTTACAAAATATCATTTGTAATAGTTAATGGATAAAATGAACTGCATTGAACATAAGAACTGCTCTAAAGTAGGTAATATTTAAAACTGAAAATAAAAGCTATAAACAGAAAAATACTCACTATATATATTATTTTAATTCTCAAAAACTATTTTTTTGGTTGACACAATAATTGCGTATATCTATGAGGTATAATGTGATGTTTTCATTCATGCCTGTATTGGATAGTGATCAATTTAGGTTAAGTAGAATATCCATCTTTGAGGAAAAATTGTTAAAATTAGTAAGAAATGTCACAAATGGAAAATATAATAGGATAATATGCATCAAAAGGAAGAAGGGAAAACTTGTCTCTGTTTTCTCCCCCTCCTCTGATTACCTTTTGTAATTTTAATTTTTATTAATATATATTTACAGTACATAACGATTACATTCATTACAAGAAGTTGGCACATGTACACAACACATCTTAATTCTCTTTCCCCCTTCCTCTCTTCCCCCTCCCTCTATCTCTGGCTCACCCTCCCATTTGCAAAAGGTCTATCTCCCTGTTTCCTATTATCTGTCTTTTATTTAGCTCTTTAATGTATACATACTTTTGGTTCTCATATAAAAGAAACAATGCAATATTTAAGCCTGTGTATCTGATTTATTTCACTTAACATTTTTATTGTCTCAAAGTATATTCATTTTCCTACAAATGACTCGTTTATCCTTCTTTATAGCAATGTAGTACCTATTATGTATAAATATCGTATTTTCTTTGTCCATGTATCTGATGGATACGTAGGCTGTTTCCAAGATTTAGCTCTAGTGAGTTGTGCTGCTATTAACATGGTCATACATGTATCTCTATAATATAATGTCTTTAACTCTTTCTGGAAGATACCTACAAGGAAAATAGGTGAGTTTACTTCTATTTTTAGTTTTTTGAGACTCTGATACTGATTTCCATAGTAATTGCACTAGTTCACATTCCCACCAACGATGTAGAAAGGTTCTTTTTCCCCTATAGTTTTTCAGATGTTTGCTATAATTTGACTTCTTGATGACTGCCATTGTTTCTAAAATAAGATAGAATCCCAGGGCTGGGGATTTAGCTCAGTGGTATAAGTGCCTACCTGGCAAGTGCAAGGTCATGAGTTTGATTCCTGGTACCAAAAAATAAACAAAAAACCCCCGATACAATCTCCGTGTTGTTTTAATTTGGATTTCTCTACTGACCAGAGAAGTTGAACAAACATTTTTTATTTGGTGGGGGGTGTCTAAATATTTCGATTTTTTTTTGTATATTCTGGAAGAGTTGGCAAAAAATGTTTCTCATTCTATGGGTTGTCTCTTTACATTTTTGGTTGTTTCCTTTGCTATGAAAAAGCTATTTAATTTATATAAGCCTGTTTGTTAATTCTTGATGTTACTTAGAGTGCAACTGGGGTGCTGTTCAGAAAATCCTTGCCTATGCCTATGCCTTTAAGAGTTTTGTCTATTTTATTTTCCATCAGATTGTTTCTGTTTTAACATTTATGTCTTTAATCCATTTTTACTTTAGTACACAGTGAGAGATGAATATAGCTGCCATATTCTGCATGTGAATAGCTAGTTTTTCCAGCACCATTTGTTATAGTGCATGTTTTTTGCTTCTTTATCAAATATCAGATGGTTGAATGTGCCTGGGTTTTTTCAGCATCCTCATTTCTGTGCCACTGATTCACATGGCTCTTCTTGTGCTAATGCCATTCTGTTTTCATCACCTTAGTTTTTTAATGTAACTTCCACCTGGGCTTGTTGCCCAAGACTGCTTTTGCTGTTTTGGGTCTCTTCTGGTTACATGTAGATTTTCAGATTGTTTTCTCTAGTCCTGCCATGTTTTGATTGGCATTGTGTTAAATCTGCATATCAATTTTGGAAGTATGGGCATTTTGGCAATATTAGTTCTGCCTATGTAGGACTAGAAGTTATCTTTCCATTTTCCATTACTATAGTTTTCATATAGATGTCTTTCACCTCTATTAGTTTCTAAGTATTTTGATTTTTCTTGAAGCTATTGTGAATGATACTCTTTTTCTAATTTCTTTCTTCATGAGTTTCTTTTGGTATACGACAACACTCTTGATTTTTATGCATTGATTTTCTATCCTGCTACCTTGATGAATTTGCTTATTAGTTCTAGTTGTTTATGGATTTTTTTGGCTCTTCCGGGCATAGAATTATGTCATCTGCCCCAAAAAAGGGAATACTTCAATGTCTTTCTTTCCTAAATGTATCCTTTTATTTTTTTCTTTTGCCTTATTGCTCTGGCCAAAATTTTGAGTACTGTATAGGTGATAGTGGGCAAACTTGTCTTTCCTGATCTTAGAAGAAAAGCTTTCAGTTTTTCCTCCATTAAATATATTAGCAGTAGATTTGTCATAAATAGCTTTTATCAGGTTGAGATAAGGCCCTTCACTTATTTTCTGAGTTTTTATTATGAATGAATGTTGGATTTTGTCAAAGGCTTGTTCTGTGTGATGATCATGCGATTTGCTCTTACTTCTGTCAATGGATATATTTATTGATTTGCATATGTTGAGCAATCATCCTTGCACCCCTGGGATGAAGCCTTCTTGGTCATGATGTATGATCATTTTCATAACTTGCTGCATTCTGTTTGCCAGTATCTTGTTGAATAGTTTTGCATCTATGTTGATTAAAAGTTTGCTGTGTAGTTCAAAAATGGCGGCTTGCTAGGGGATTGGGCGGTGAGTCTCTCTGGAGAAATCATATTAGATGCTAGAATATGACAACATGGAGAGGGCCAGATGAATGGATAACAATTCTTATTAACCAAGACAGCGCGACTGGAGGATTTAAGGTCATGCTGAGATTGCAGTGGCTGATAACAGGAGTCTGCAAATCCCGCACCTTTAGAAAAAGAGTATCATTCACAATAGCTTCAAGATGCCAAAAGCCCAGTGTCCCGCAGCACACTGACCAGTGGATCCAAGAGGAAAAGCTGTATTGGCCTTTGGCAACTGCTGGAAATTGAGACCTGGGACCCCGCGAAGCAGTCAGGACTGCCGGGCTGCGCCGGAGGAGATTGTGAGAAGTTCTGGAGCTCCAAAGCTGAACACTGTGCAGTTTTCTGACCATTCTACGCTGTGTCAGGAATGCAGTGAAGGCAAGTGGCACAGTGTGCAGTAGACCCAAGAGGAAGACCTGCACTGAGTCCTGGTGAATACTAGGGACTGGGTCCCACAGCTGCTGTGGCTGGCTGGAGCACATCTTGGAATTGGGCAAAGCTTGCCACCACAGTGACATCATTAACACGGAGAGTCTGGTGGAGGACATCTTGGAATTGGGCAGACCCAGTGCCGCGGTGACATTAGATTGTCGCTCCTGGCACAGAGAGGTCTGGTAGAGGACAGCTGGGATTTGGGCAGAGCCCTGCATCACAGTGATATTAGTCAGCTGCTTCTGGCACAGAGAGAACTGGCAAGACCTTCTGGGGCTGAACCAAGCCTCTGGTTGGGACCCAATAAGCAGATACAAAATAGTAGTGACTCTGTGACATCCACAAAGTACAGCCTAACTTGTGTATTGACTGGCAGAGGCTGGAGGCTAGCCTGCACCATCCCTACATCCATGCCTACCCCAGATAACAACAAATTGGGGAGGACAGCAAAAACTCAAGTCAGCATGCTTCTGAAAGGCCCTAAGCAATATGGAGAGGGCCAGAGACCCCCAGGACACTCCAGTCTGAAAGAAACCAGAAACATGACAATAGATAGAATTTTTTAAAAAATCACCAGCTGCCCAACATGAGAAAATAAGCCCAGGAGAAGTAAATACAGAAGAGAACCAGCACAGTAACCATCCAATACTGGACACAGCATCAGCTGAAATAAAAAACTACCTCCATGACCTCATAGATGAATTTAAAGCTGTATTCCTGATCCAAGTGAGGCAAGATATAAAGAGATTAATTAAAGAAATGACAAGCCCCACCCAAGAGAACACAGATGGGAGAACAGAGGAAATCAGAAAAGAAAGAGAAACTTCTGAAGAAGAATTTAAACATAACTTAGAATACATGAAACAGATCCAAAGAGATTACCAGGAAACTCCTTTGAACACTGGCAAAATGCCTTGACAGAAACTAAAGTTAGCCTTTTGAAACTTGAAGAGCAATTTATGATATATGATCGTGAAAGAAAAGACCTCTTAAAAATAACAAGGAACCAGAAAAAAATAATTCAAAGACTAAAAGATGACAAAAAGATACATAACTTAAGAATAAAGCATGTGAGTGAGGAAGCAGGAGCAACCAAAAATGAAATACAAAGAATATTCACAGATATATTAAAGCAAAATTTCCCATGTATAGTACAAAGAAATGACATCCAGATAAAAGAGGCATACAGAACGCCAGCTACCTACAACCAAAACAGATTTACACCCAGACATATAATAATCAAGATTCCAGAAATCCACCAAAAGAACAGAATATTAAAAGCAGCCAGAGAAAAGAAGCAGATTACCTACAATCGGAAAATTATCAAAATAACAACAGACTTATCAACACAAACTCTTAAATCAAGAAGGGAATGGGGAGAAATATTCCAAGTCCTGAAAGAAAATAATATGCAACCAAGACTCATATACCCATCAAAACTCTCTTTCAAAATTAATGGAGAAATAAGATGCTTCTAAGACAAGGAGGAACTGTGGGAGTTCATGGGCACCAACCCAACCCTACAGAGAGTGCTGAAGGACATTCCAGAGAAAGAGAGGAAGGGATACCAGGATTCCAGCAACAGTGGCAGAGAGGCCTCAATGAATGGGGCAGACAGTGGAATGAGGGAGTAAGGTGGACAAATTATAGCAGTAAAGTGGAGTAGCAAACATGAGGCAGAGATGGTAAGCTATAATCTTTAGTATAGATAGCTTTGATACACTATAAAAAAAGCAGAGGTCATTGTTAATAGTGTATCATGATTTAAAAGACACAGTAGTCTTATCACCCTGTTTAGTTTGAATTTAATTTGTTTTGGTCTGTCCACTCATATCAGATTTGAGGGCACAGACATCTGACCCCAAAATAGCAGATTATACCACGGTAACTAACCTTAATTTCCTATTAACTTAAACTGAAATCCTGTATTACTTACATTGTCTTACTATGACTGAGCTTATTTGAATCTGATTCATAAGACCACAGTTTTGCCTTGGCTGATTTTATTTGAATTTGGTATGCTTGATAGTATCAACCCTAAAAGTAGAGGCAACTACTCTGAAGATGACAAGATGTAAAAGGTATCCATACTGGTTTTGATTATTAACAGCTCTCAAGTCCTACAATGTTTTCAAAGTTGTGTTTTTATAAAAATAGCTAGGTAATACTATGTTTAACTATATTGTCTGATGATGTGGACAAATCTATTGAAAATAACAAGAGAAAGCATAGTAACTACGGTAGATCACCTAATATTGTGGTCTTATGTGTCTTTTTCATTGCACGTTTTTCTAGGAATTTGTTTTGCTATCCTGTTATGATTTGTTTTTCCCTATAATACAGAGAGGATAGATATACATGTAGAAATTCATACATGAGAAGATTTTTCTAAAAACTATTTATGGGAACAGATTATATAATGC